CTCAGCAAATCCAGTTTAGTCTGGTACGTGTGCAGCGTTTACCTCGGGACGGACGACGACGGTCGAGGGAGTGTGACGCTCTGGACAACGTTCTGCTAGGAAACTAGGCCCTTCATGTGGACGCAAATTTGACGCGCGTCAAATACCTAAAAATTGTAGCAGACCAGGTGACACTGGTGTTCCTTGGTGGAAGTGGCTCTTTCCGCAGGATAATGAGCATGATGAAGAGTTCAAGATGTTGCCCTGGCCTTCAAATTCTCCAGATCCCAATTCCAGTGAGCATCTGTAAGATGTGCGGGACCAACAAGTTTGATCGATTTTGCGACCTGCAGTCAGCACTATTTTGGCAGCAAACGGAGGACCAACAACATATTATGGGGTGGAGATGGCGCAGTGGATGAAACACATGCCTTTGGAGTGAGAGACACAGGTTCGAATCCACTGTGAGACACCAATGTGTCCCTGAGCAAGACACTTAACCCTTAGTTGCTCCAGAGGCGTGCGACCTCTGACATACTATAGCAATTGTAAGTCGCTTTGGATAAAAGTGTCAGATAAATGAATAAATGTAAATGTAAATGTGAACATATTAGGCAGGTGTTCTGTTCATATCATAATGTTTTGGCTCATCCGAGAAGTCTAGTATATAGTGGCCCAGTTTAGCAGACAGGGCTTCGAATAAACCAGGATTAGACCTTAAGTGACTTTTATAAACGTGCCTTGGATAAAACTTGAGACAAAACAATGGCACTGACATAATTTAGTGCATTGTCAGTGCAAGTTGATTCAGTTAAAACAGCTCAAATATGCATTTTAGTCCAGGACTAGCATAAGCCTTGTCTGTGAAAACCGTAAGAGTAAGTATAGTTTAAACTTTGGTTTCATATTGAATTTGCAGGCATGATTGACACTGTTGTTATCATTAATTAAAACTAAAACATTTTCGGTAATCGAAAATAAAAGCTCAAATTAACTAAAATATGAATATTTGATAAAAAAAAAAAATATTTGATAAAATATTATTTGATAAAAATAGAAAAAATGTCAATGAAAATTAAGTGTACATAGAAATACTAAAATAATTCAAACTGAAATAAAAATCTGTAAAAATTTTAATGTTTTAAAAAATGACTACAACAAAAAATTCTAACTGGATCACTGGATTATGAACAACACGGCTACTATTTTTCAGTAAGAAAATATCAAACCGTATGAAAATTAACACATTAGGCCTGAAACCTAAACCATATTATCCTAAATAGTCTTAAAAGTTTCTCTAGTATTTCAATGAGAAGAAAGGCGAGTAAAAGATCAATTTGAATATTAATCACAACAACCTTATGTCACTCTTCTGGAAGTGAAACCAGTCTGTCATAATAGGATGTATCCTAGATCCCGAATCAGTTCACACAGGGATTAATGCAGCTCATGGCTTATTTGTGTTTTGGTTGGAGAATGTACCAGGCATATTGCTCATAATCCCAGTTAACTGTCACTGTCTCAGAAACACATAAAGCCATTGAGCAGCCTTAATCTGTCCAAAGTCAGGCTTACACACACGTTGATACCTGTACAATGCATCTTATATCCAAAACAGATTACAGTCATATCAAATAATTTACAATCAACTATGAATGTCATAACATAATTTAACACAAAGAATCCAAGGTTTAATGTGGGAAAAGTGTAAAAAATAGTTGTTTCCATGCATGTCGACAGACTGTTGCATCAAAATGCAGAAACATTTGGGAGACTTAAATTGGAATAGCTGGCAAAATTTTGACTCAGGGTATAAGATTACATTTTGACATATATTATATAATACATTCTAAAAAAGATTAGATTAGATTAAGCCAGGAATAGAATTTAGGCCAAAATTTAAGTAGCTTTTATAAACGTGCCTCAGAAACAAAAACGAAATAATGGCAGTGACATATTTTAAGATTTGTACAAAAAGTACAAGTTGCATCAGTTGAAACACCTTTTTAGTCTGAGACTATAGCTTAAGCCTTGTCTGTGGAACCGGGGGGTTAAGTTTTTGTTACAAAACAAAAGCTATTAAACATTTTCCAACCATTACTGCCCAGAAAATGTAAGAAAAAACACCTGACATCATGTTGTCACAATGAAAACTGTAATTAAATAACCTAAAATGAGCTTATTAGCTGAAATTTAAATATTAAAAGAATTGAAAGGAAAAAAATGTATAACCTATATAACACATGACAACTTGCCTAACTTGACATAGCATTTTGAATATTTTGAACAAAGACCACTTCTAAAGAAAACAATTGAACTTTTGACTCAAAGCTTGTCCTAATCTATTATATTTGTCTAAAAAAATAGTATTGTGTATTACCCATATTCTTGTCTCTTTGACAAATTGCTTTTCGCTCCTATTTTGTAAGTCGCTTTGGATAAGTGTCTGCTAAATGTATAAATGTGATTTAAAAACCTTAAAGTTACAGCTAGCCATTGTGACAACTTGCCCCTCTCTCAAATACGTCACTGAGGCAAGCATCTCTGCTGTCTGTTGTTAGTTTTATGCATAGATTTTTTGTTGTTTTCCATCTCTGGCCTTTACTTATAAGAATGCAAACAACATTGTGGTGCCATCTAAGCTTGTACATTAAAGTCCCCACCATCAGCCAGGACAAGGACACAGTGATGCATGTTAAAACAAACATGCATTGATAATATTGCTTTTTATTGATTGATTTCTTGAGGCCCAAGACCGACTCGTCGTCGAAGGGCACTGGCAAGTAAACAAGGCATGATGATGACATGACAAAGCCGCTCGTGCACGTGCAGCTGCTGTGATGCTGCAACAAAACAAAGATGCCAAGCTCCCGTTTTCCCTGCTGATGTCAACCCTGATGGATCTCCTTCACTCACTCACCTCCTCTGCGTGTTTCCTCAGCGCTTTCTCGCGCTCGTACTGTGTGATCAGCTGCTCGTTGTCCTCCTTCAGGAGCTCCAGCTCCACTTCATGCTCCTGGTTCTCGGCGAACACGGTGTCGAGGTTCTCCAGCACCGCCACGACCAGCGGCATCAGCTCTTTCACCACGTCCTCGTCGTATTTGCGAATAAGCCTCTCGAATTCGCGGTAGATGGAGTTGGCGAGGCCCGAGACTCTCTCCGACATGATCGCCGATGTCCCCGGGTCGTCCTGGTACACAACTCCGTCATCCAACTCCATTTTCCTTCCTCTTCTGTGAATGTCCTAGATTTAAACCGCCGCTATTCCACCCACCGTGCCCTGAGATATTTTGAGAACAGATGCGGATATATATTCCCGTTGTATTCTCCGACACACAGAGCCACAAGGAAGGATCCCACGTAAGTCAGTCCAGAGTCCCTCCCTCCCTGGAACTAACCGGCCGATGTATTACGTGGAATATTTTCCCGCGGTCGACCGACAACAGACGAGTTCAGTTGTTGACCAGACAGTCGCGCAGTGACGTCACGCTCCACATATCGTAATTAATAATAAAAACCTGTCCCCAAAAAAAATAAATAAATAAAAACCTGTCCCTTTACATTACCTGCCGTTCCCCATATTTTCTGGCATTGTAGGCATGTGAAAAGATTATGGTATGAGGTGTCTATGTTTATTAAGGATAAGGTACTTTTTAATTTAGTTTTGCATTTTGAAAATGTAATTTTTGGATATTTAAAGTATGATAACAGTGTGGAGGCTTTTGTAATTAAGCAGTTAATTTTATTAGTCAAATTTCACATCCATAAGTGTAAGTTTTCTAAAAAAAAAAAAAAAGAAAAGAAAAAAAAGCCCCTTGTATTCCTTGTAAAATTAGAAAATTATTTTTCTGCTATTCAATCTAGTAATGCAAAAGCCAACAAGACTGTACATTTTTTGTGATATTTTTATTTATTTATTTATTTTATGTAAATGTGTGGTCATTGCTCCCTTGGCTCTAAAGTGTATCTTGTAATATTGTTTTGTTTAAGTAATAAAAAATAAATAAAATAAAAAAACATTACTTACTGTTAGTTTTTAAAATCACATCATTTCCATATCAGAATGAATCGGTTTATCAACTGAGCATGGTCATTTCCCATAATTAGATTATTATAGTGTCTTAAATGTAGACACTATAATCTATACACTATAAAGTTTCAGAAAAAAATACTGGCTTGCTGATCATAGATAGTAAAAGAAAGCCTTTAATCCATGTTTGGGTCAAATATGGACAAACCCAACCCGTTGGTTTAAAATCTTAACCGTTTAAAATGTTTAATTTTTATGTTTGGTAACACTTTAAAATAATAGTTTGTGAATAATCAATACCTGAATTAAAAGTTACTTCAACGTTAACTCATGAATATAGGAACTAATCATGAACCAAGGAAGAGCAACCCAACTACAACAGGAGTCATACTGATTCATGCATGACTAACAGCAGCTTTAAACATGTAAGTACAAGTTTGACAGTTAATGCATTAATTAAGGTTAGGGGCAAACTAAATCAATCACTCTCTGTAAGAATAAATATGAAGTGTTCTAAATTTGAACATATAATTTAATACTGCCATAATTTAAACTGTAATATCATAATCTGCTATTTGCAGCAACCATTGTGACAAATAATTGGAATGGCACATGTTTTTAGCCACAGATCTGTCTAATCAAATGTGAAAAATATACTAACAGCACTAATAAATTGAATTTGATCTATTAAATGTTGACTTCTTTTGGTAAACAGAATTAATAATTAAATACATGTTTGCGTGTATGTTGTATTTGGGAGGTTTCAGGAGGTTAGGGTTAATTAACTGTATTTGTTGTTTAAATATATATGCTTCAATTAGCATTAGCTTATATCTTGCATGGGGTGAGTAATTAATTATCAGCAAAAGAACTAATCCTTTAGTTTTGTACTATAATTACTCTAAAACAGTGGAATATACCAAGTAAAATTGTCAACAGAAATTAGACAACTGAACTGACTTTAAAAACCACCAAGGAATAACACACAAAATCATGTCCCTTAAAATATTTATTGGAGACATGTAAAAACTAAAAAAGAAAAATAACTGTAAACCCTAAAGGAATGATGAGAGAGGGGGAAACCTTGGGGATGTTGAACAAAGAAACGAGAAAACATAAGCAACAAAACTTGTATTCACTCCAATATGTGCTTTGACAGTATCCACACCACTAGATTTAACGGTCTAACCATAAATTAATGCATTTGAACAAGCTGATGTTTGCAGGAAATAACTGAATATTTAAACAACCTTGCTTTAACATCACATATCATTGATAACTGTTGACATCCTAAATAAAATGATATGGGTCACACAAGGAGAATTGCGCCGAATTAAATACGAAACATTATCTTATTTACAGTTGACTCGTTGCTACTGGGGCCATCAGCACAAATGCTTATGTACATGAACTTAAAGACGAATAAGGCATTTATGTGAAAAGATGAAATCTCAATTTTCAGTGGTGGCTAAACCTCTAATTTAAGTAATGTGTGATTTTACCACATGCACACTGTGGGGGAGAAGAAATAAAAAAAAGAATGAGATATAATAACTTGAATTGTTGGACACACATTTCATTTTCCCTCTTAAATCAGGAAAGAACTTATTTGACACTCCGGGAACCATTTCCGATCATGGACAAATTTACAATGACTCATTTAGTGTGTACAATGGACTGTTCAATATTCAATATTTCAATACACCTTGCATTATAGAAAAGTTTTTTTCTTCTTTTTCTTTTTAATAGCAATAAAAAAGTATTGCAAGATGCTAAAGACAGAAGAAAACGTCCTCGTTTCTGTAAGGGGGTGGTTGGTGTCCAGGCGGAGAGAAATAAATCAGTGACTGAACTGGCGTTGTGTGTTCTTTGTCTTGGGCATCTTGCGGTGGCGTCATTGGCTTGTGCCCCTCTATAAGTCTGACGGAGACACAGCTCTCTGTTCTTTGGCACTTAGGCTGGTAGACTCAGCTTCTTTCCTTTCAGCACTGCGACGAAGAAAAATAAGATTTCAGAGAAGAAATAGAAGGCACAAAAAAGGGCTTTTCATCCTAAAACAAGACAAAATCTACAAACAAAAGCCAAACTGTAATTAATACATGCATTAATTAATTAGGTGTCAATAAAGGGCTATTTTACTGTGTCCTTGTTACACGATACATGTAGTTATTATAGTAATATCTAAATTATGCATAATTACAGACAACTAATCTAATCCTAAAACTTTAGTGCCCTATACAGCCGGGTTCCGCAAGTAAAAATTGTCTCCATAGAGAAATTGATTTTGAACGATAACTTTGCTTCTGTTGAAGCAGTCAGCCCACATTATTTCATCTTAGTCTTAAAATAATCATGTTTAAGGCGGAATCGAGGTGAAAAACTACATTACCCATGATGCTGTACAGAAAATTACACCAATCAGAGAGTCGAAGTTAGCTCTGCCCACTCCCAGGAAGCACTGCAAATAATGTAATCAAGTCGATCGCCCTACACACTCAAATGCTGAAAGGTTTGTTTGTGTAAATATATATGCGTGTGTGAAAATATATGCATATTTTGCAAAAAAAAACTCATAATATTAAATAAGTAGTTTTATATTTCTCCATTGTTTTTCATTTGATTGTGCTGTTTGCAATGCTTCATGGGATTGTAGTTCTTTCCCTCACTAAAGCCGTGAAGCACACAGTCTTGTACATTTGCATTTTTGTCACCTTGTAGCTAAATGACTTGGTACATGCCTTATACCGCTTTAAGAATTTTTTTAAATCCCTATGGATGAAATAAATGGAAAAAAGCTTTCGAAACCAGCACAGCTGAAAAAGGGGACGGCACCAATGCACCCTATTGCAAGTACATGTAGTTAATTAATATTATGCAGTAATTAAATGTATAATAATAACAACAAACACCTTAAAATAAAGTGGATCTGAAATGACAAGAGAAATCATTAAAATCAAAGGTTAACTGTAGTTTAGATGTTTTAAATTTTTAATTAAAGAGAAAAATCATAAAATTTACCACACTAACACAACCCATCTTACTTGCATGGTTGTATTTTTGAGTGAAACAAGTTGGGAAAACAATGCGTTTTTTCTTTTTTTTTGGAATAGTATCAACAACATGTATAAAGAAAGTTGATTTCATCCTAACTTTAACGTCCACCCAAACATAATGTAATTTCACACCCAAGGCTCCAACATAAGTACATACACACTGACCTTTTGTGACGTAAAGGTAGAAGAAGTCACAATAGAGTATAGTCTGGACGACCCCAGCCACGATGGCAATCATGTCAAAGAAGCCCTCGAAGTAGAACCTCCAGATCCAGTTGAAGAGGTAGAGGGCGCGATACACCCCCAGACAGAACAGATAGTGAGTAGTGATGGTCTCCGCCTCGCCCGTCTTGCTGATCATAAAGAGCTGAGGCAGGATGGCCACCGACTCCAAGTAGATGGAAAAGGTCCACAGAATCTGTCAAGAAGATATGTTGAGCACCGGTAAGTTTTATTTACAAAATCTTTTAGATTTCTTTACATTTCTAAACGCCACGAAACTTGGAAAAACTTTCATTTAATCCTTAAGGCAGTTGAAAAAAAACCCTTTAAATTATTTGTAATATACTGTATTGATAACTTAAAGGTGCTGCGTGTAATTTTTAACGGCATCTAGTGGTGAGGTTGCAAATTTCAACCAACAGAAGTTACGGTGGCTGATAGGAAAAGATGTCGTTGTCTGAGACAGCAGAGTACCCAGTTAAGCAATGAGGTTTCTTTCCAAAGATTAAAGATTTAAGAAATTAAGTTTACTTAATTATTCAGTAAAACAATGTTATTGTTACTTGTTCATCATTGTGTCTGTGTTTTATTCGCTGACTTTAGCTTGCGTCTTTACACGAAGAACAACATGGGGACGAAACGCATTTGTCCGTTTAGGGCCATTGTAGAAACATGTCAATGTAAGGTGACCCGCGGTGTACGTAGATAGAAATGGCTCATTCTGACGCAATTAAAAAAAAAAACGGCTCAATATGCAAGGTCTTTATACACCACTAAAAACAGTTATGTATATGATATACCATTTCTGTCAAGAGATCCTCCTAAATATTACACAATGCGCCTTTAATGTTTATAATTTGCTTTTATTTCGATATTTATCTTATTTCAAGTAATTATTTTGTTATATATACATATATAATACATATATTATTTGAGGAAATTAAGGGGAAAATTATTATTTGAGGAAAATACAATCAGTTGATGTGAATACATATGTCTATAATGGCTAACATTGCATAAGTTAATGCTTAAAAGGGATCTATTATGCAAAATTAATTTTTATAAGCCGTTTGAACACAGATGTGTCTACAGTGTGTAAACAACAAGCCCACATTATTATAGTAGAGTTGTTTTACAGATAAATAGTTCACCAGTTTAATAAGCACCCACTGAAAAGGTCTGCATAAATGCGTTTACTGTTAGTTGTAACAAGTGCTTTTGTGTAATTGTGTATGTTGATGATAATGAAGGAGAGAGCGAGTTTATGGATACGACTTTAATGCGCACTACTGTTTTATTCGGCTCTTACAGTGACTTTCTGGAGCGAAAACAGACCTTTGTGTGATGTAAAATAAACTTCAGAAAACTCAATACATTTTTGGCCATCATTCAGATGGGGTCCGCTATAACAAGATTGTATTAATAGTAGATAAAAGCAAGATGACAGCATAATTTATGACTGTAATTAAACTAAACCATACCTCTCCATGCAGCATATATTCTCTGGCTTTGTGGCTAAACACTGCTGACAGTTTCAACGTGTGAGATTGTCCTGTTTTGTTGCCATAGTGCTCTTAAAGCTCCGCCCTCTCCTTGAAAGGGGGCGGGGAGCAGCAGCTCATTTGCATTTAAAGGGACACACCATAAGGCACATTTTTGCTCACCACCAAATAGTGGCAATTTTAACATGCTAAAAAAATTATTTGTGGGACATTTTAAACTAAAATTTCATATATTCATATATACACTCTGGGGACATCAGAGACTTATTTTGCATATCTTAAAAATGGGCATAATAGGTCCTCTTTAAGTTGAATATACAATTATCATAATGCAAATATCATAATTGCATATATTTGCCCTGTTTTAGCCGCATTTAGGATGGGATATAGATCAAGTAGTCTTGGATTATGAATTGCATATACGGACACTGAGTGTGTTTGGGGGGGTTAGACTAGTCTTACTCTTTTTAATTATTGTGATTGCATGATAATGATGGGTTCCTCATTATTTGCACATGTGCAGTGAAGAGTCTAATAATCACCTCCAATGGAGAGAAGTCGTGGTTGACCAGGAAGGCGAGGCCTCCCACTGGAACCACTAGAAACTCCACTCTGAAAGTGTCATGGTTTCCATCATAGGTTGCCCTGAATTTTGCATAGATCAGGTAGACAGTGGCATAGGCACAGCCAACGTAGATAATCTGTTTTAACAGAACAGAAGCACTCAACTGATTAACAGTGCACATATAAACAAACTCAACCATTTACTTGGATGTATGAATGTATTGATGTGTGCATGTAAAAGTTCGCTCTATGCATTTACCTTCATGCAAGAGTTGTAAAGAGAAATGAAGGATGTCAGGAGATCCAGGTATCGCGTGGTGAACACCAAGGCGAAGAGTATCTGGCTCTTCCCAGAGATACCTAGGGATTGAAACACTTACACTCAGACAACTACTTAAACAACAAATAAGTGCACACAACAGCGCTCATAAACACTTCCAAAGGGTTGCATCTAGGCTCGCTAAGGACCAAAAGACCACCATGTATCTAGACTACCCAGGTGACCCATCCTTGCAAACCCCACACAACACAATATGCACTGCCACGTCACGGAATGCAATGCACTTCAGGAATGTAAGGAAAATAAATGAAGTCATGCATTTTAATTTCGCCCTCCAGCTATATAAAAAGCACTTATTTGACTCTCACAATTCAAGATATGAAGATGCAACTTGTCCTCTACATGGTAAAACGGCACATGTATAAATAAACGTGTGTGTGTGTGTGTATATATATATATATATAGACCAAGTAATCTAATATTAAACAGCAAAGTAATTATAACTTAGGCCTTAAGTTCAGCTAATTTAGCCACTTTATTGAGCACAAGGCTGTCGTTTAGCCTATACTTCAAATATATATAAGCAAAGATTTGAGTCACAGCATATTAAATACATATAGATTTGACCATTCAAACACAAACTGAAATTTAATTCAACAAAAAGAATTCTAGACCAGTTGCTTTCAAGTCAAGCTAAACCAGTAGCTTGCAAGCTATAACGTTACACAAATTATTTTATTTCGTGCTTCATGCATTAATATTAACGTTAAATCACAAAGACTTTTCCGGACAGATCAACCTAGTTTAAAGTCTTCCCTATCTTTGATAAACACGCGTATAATGTATGAAATGAATGAGAAAAGTATATTTCGTGTGAGTTTAGCTCACCTGCGCAGGACCTGGTCTTCCATATCTTGAGCAGCAGGATGATGATGGCAGCTAGATGAGACAGGTCTCCAGTCAGCCTAAAGATATTCATGATGATTTTACCTCTCTGGCTGTTTTAGTTGCGTTAAAGAAAGCTCAGGGTGAGTGAAGTAATTGCGAACCGGCTGAGTGCCGATCTCCAGCAGAGCATTCCTCCACGAAATATGGCGAATGAGGGGCGACGTGGCCGGTGGACGTGACGTGGCCATCAGCGAAATCGCAATGAATGCTGGGAGTAGTAGTTGATGCGGCCGCGAGCTTCACGAACCCTAACCACGCCCCAGCCTCCAAAAATTACTTTGCCTATGATTATTACAGTTTTTCTCAGTCGCTTTGTTACATTTCTCAGATCAGAATGGAAATTCTCAAAACTACCCGTTAAATCTTCACATCATTGTGTCACTTCTGCACAGCATAAAAGGAGTTTCTCATTTCTTTGAACAAGTTGCAAATGTTTTGGGATACACAAATGATTATGTACAATTATCTGCTGTTTCCTACTTATATCCTGTTGATAAAAATCAACTCACAACAGATTTGTGTATGCTAACGCAAATAGCCTATATCTTTGTGAGAGAAATGTTCCTCCCATCCCATATTTTTCCCACAACCATGTCCCTTTTGTGAGTCGGAAAGCACATTGGTCAACAGCTGTTGTTTTAATAGTGCTATACAAATAAATTGTCATTGTCATGTAGAGCGATAGAAAATTAGAGGAGGAAGAAGACGATGGGTCAGAGATTTAGGAGATTTATGTATACACAAAGGCTGTATCAAAAGGTAACTTTGCGTCCGCTGCCAAGATGGATCCATAGATACAAAGTAACTGCTTCGGTGTGTCGCATGTATGTCATCATCGTCTTGCCGCTCCCTCCCCATTCTGTGATTGGTTCCCTATCTCAGGTGAAGATTTGGTTCATGGTGTCCAGGCTGCCTGGAAACAAAGGCTAGTCTGTACTACATAGGCCTAATTCCCGGTTTCACAGACAGGGCTTATTAAAGCCAAGATTAGCATAGTTCAAACATGCCTTATAGAAAAAAAACATTAGTGGTGGTGAGACACAACAATGGTTAAAAACCTTCGGTTAAAACAGCTCAAACATGCATTTTAGTCCGGGACTAGACTTTGCCTTGTCTGTGAAACTGGGGGTAAAAGTTCAAACTCAACAGAACGTGACAATAAGCTGTCACTTAGCTGTCACAAGAAGTCTTACGCAAGGAAGGAAGAACTGGGTTGGGTCTGTTACTTCTCATTTCTACAAGTCATTTCTGGTTTTATTTCTCAGTTAGGCGTGAGACCGATGACTAATTGAAAAACAATCAGAGAGATACAGGAGCCACAAACAACTGCGAACATCAACATGAACTTTGGTTTCCTCTTCACCACTGCAATTCTTGTTTTGAGATTAGGTGAGCAGAGATTGAATTTATCAATGATATGTACATACGCTCTTAAAAAGAAAAGTTCCAAAAGGGGTTTTCACAGTGATGCCATAGAAGCCGTTATTCCATTTTGGGTTCACCAAAGAATCCTTTTATTAAAATAACCTTTTTTTTCTTAGTGTGAAGAACCTTTTAGTAATGGACTTTTCTCCACTCGAAAAAATAATGCAAGTTCCCTGTTAAAGGTGAACCATTGATGCCGATAAAAAAAAACTTGATTAGTTGGGCTACTTGAAATATTGATAACATAAACTGTCAGCGATTAATTGTATTCAGTTTAATAAAACGATATTCTGAATTTCTACAGTTAGAGGATGTATAGATGTCCAACAGCCAAAGACGCTCATGAGAAGAAAAGAGCGACATTCTGTCTCCATTCCCTGCTCTGTCAATATATCCAGCTGTCAACTCACACCTCAACACAAACAACTCACACTTGAAATCTCTTGGTATGTGTTCCGGAAAGACTTTCACTACCAGATTGATTTGTCAAACCAGCAACTAAAGTACAAACTGGAGCATCATGATCTGAAAATCAGCTCTTTGTCAAAAGCTGACTGTGGGGTGTATTACTGTGCAGCAGCTCTGCTGGAAGTGACTCACAGTGGGGCGCAGGCAATCGGACAGGGAACCACTTTGAAAGTGTCAGGTAAGCACTAGAGGATTTAGCACGACCCCATCAGATTCAGACCCTTCACTGTAAAAAATAATCTTAATTTTAATGGTAAAAAACTGTTAATTGGTTAACAGAAAGTTTCCGTACTATATACAAGTGAATAACTGTATAAATAACTGTGATAGATTTTAGGGTACATTTGATGTAATTTTACTGTAAAATACCGTTAAATTTACAGTTTTTGAAAGTGAAAAAGAACAACTCATTGTATTTTTACAGTTTAAAAACCATAAATTGACAATTCCCTGTGTGACACTTCACATTTTATGAATTTTTGTTGAAATATGGTTCCTCATAGTTTTCTTGTTTGTTTGTTTTCCTAATCAGTTATGTACATTAGGTTTTATGTTACATTTGATGTTGTTGAATTAATGTTTATTGCATTTTTTTTAATTTCATGTGTGTTACCATGATGAGCAGCTTCTTTATATGAGTATTAATGGCGTATTAATTAATGGAGTATTAGTGGCTCTCATCTCTGCTGTGATGATTGTTGGTTGTCAATGGTATAATGGTACAAAATAGATATCAATACTTCAATAGGTTGGTAAATTACCATTATATCAGAAAATAAAATATGGTTTATTACTGTAAATTTTAAGTTAAGTCTGTAAAACCAATAATGTCGCTACCGTATTTTTGATGGTAAAGTTCTAGCAACCACAGCTGCCGTTTTTTTACCGTAAAAATTACGGTTTTATTTTTTACAGTGTTGTGTTTCACATATCATTCTTGTTTTGTATGCAGAGAGGGGCTTAAACTTCCCTCAAACACTGCTTTTGACCCTGCTTGTCCTGCTGAGTGTCTACAGCCTCCTCGTCCTGGGCATCCTCATCTCCATTAAGGTACAAATTTAAAGTTACAGTACGTTTTAAAAGTAATGCAGTTATTATGCTGTTGACCAAGCATTTTAATGAATTTTACTACATTCTCAATGTACTTTTTCAGGATGTTTAATGCAATTTAAATAATTCGAATGTTTTTGTTTTTTTAATCGATAGACTGGACAATTCAACTCTGTTGTTAAAAGAAGATGGAGTAAAACTAATAAAAAGGTATTGTTTCACCCTATTTCTACACAATAGCAACATGTACACCACAACTTAAAATTTTGGGGGCTAAAATATATATATTTTTTTGTTTTTTGTTTTTGAAAGATGTCTCTTATGCTCACCAAGGCTGTATTTATTTGATCAAATAAAACAAAGTCCCTTTCAAGTCTGTTCACTTTAGCTATTTGCTAATTCGGCCATCCAAGACCCATTCAGTCTTATAGTGTCACATGATCCTACAGAAATCAATGCTCAAGAAACATTAAACAAGTTGGGCTGCTTCATATTTTTGTGGAAACCATGCATAAAAAAAGATATCTTACCAACCCCAAACTTTTGAACAGTATAGCGTATACGTACAGTATGTTATTGACAAAAGTGTGGATGTTTTCAGGAGGACTCTGCTAGCCAAGTGATTTTCAGTGGAGTGGTGCAAGAACTGTGCAAGAGGAACTTAAGTGGTGACAAATTTCAGGCACACTACAAAGTTTCCCAAGACAAGGTTTTCACTTCAGACTATTCTTTTACAACACAAAAGCGTCTTGTTTTTTTGTTTTTTTAAGTCTTGTTTTAGCCTAACATTTATTTTCATTCTTCCCCACAGTCTAAAGGTCTTCAAAATATGAACCATTGTGAAGATATATACCAAAATCTTGATGAGTAAAAGAAAAAGAAAACAAATGCCCTAATCCCTGCATGTCCTGCTGATCCTGATCTAAAACATGCAGCTTCCTGCAAACCTGCAAGCTACCATTTTGGGAGGCCCCGAATTGTGATGTTTTGATGGCCTTCTTCATGTTTTGCATTTAATGTGAGCTCTCTTGCTATGTCAATTACACTGTGAACTGTTTTATTGTAGGCTATACTAAAGTGACTAAGCAAGACAGGTGAATTGAGTCAATTTAAGTATTAAAAACATTTATATTTCAAGTTTTCTGGAATGTTGTTTAAATCTGCAAATGAGGCATTATCTTTAAATATGCACTAGGCTTAATATTCATGTTTTATTTGGTTGGCATTGGAGTTAAGGTTTTTACTGTGTGTATATTTTTTTATCACGCAATAAATGAGAAAATACACAACAACCAGACAAAATTACATTTTCACCATGTTTATTATGTATAAAACGATATAGGCTATAAAACCTGGCAAACAAACCTTGGGGAAAACTGGAAAGTGTTATGTAGCCTGTTATAAGTGGAGAATTCTGAAGATAAACATTGGCACAATATGGTTTGCACAAATCAGGATTTACTGTTCTACTTACTTTTACCAAAAAAAAAAATACAATCCAATTCAGAACATATTTATTTCTCATAATCTTTATGAGCATTATTTGTAGCTAGCCTATTATGCTATTCGCTCGAGCGACCATCTCTTGACAGATCCACCACAGATCTGATTCTTCTCACTCTCGAAATCTCGCGAGAACTCCACTTGAATAAATACGCCTCGAACTCTCGTACGGCCTTCTTCTTCCTGAATAGACATCACGTAAGTCAACACGGCGCTGCTTAACAGAATCTACTTTTATCTCCGCAATCGTAAAATAAAAACTTTACATTTGTATATAAAACATGTCTGTACGGATTTCTTACAATGCGATAGCAAAATTAGTCTTGTGAATTGAACAGAATGAATCAATTTTGAGCAGTAATATTAGATGGTGTCAAGATGGCGGATAAATGGTGTAACTAGTCATTTAGTATGATTCCTGTTAATTACAGAATTCCATAGAAGTTACGGAGTTCTGAACTATAGATATAATGGCTTATTTATTTGCGATCATATGGATTGTAATGCATGTGCATTTATTCTTGACATGTGTCTTACATTAAGCGTCACTTGTATTCTAATTAACGTATGTGTTTTTATTGTGTTAAGCAAATGGCGGACGACGCCGGTGGTAGAGGAGGTTTTCGCGGAGGTTTCGGCGCTGGCGGCCGGGGTCGCGGTCGTGGTCGCGGCAGAGGCCGTGGAAGAGGCCGCGGTGCCCGGGGAGGCAAATCCGAGGATAAAGAGGTAACAAGCGTCGCCTTACTCCTACTCTCTGACTGTTATAAATTGGCATGTTTAAATGTTTTGCTGAAGGTATTTTTAAATGTATGCATTCTGTACTATTCGGTTGTTTATTTTCGCTGTACCGCATGGTATTTATTCCTCATGCCAGTATATGTAAATGTTGTATATCTCTAGATTCCGTTTCTGTATGCTTATGAAGAATGAAATTGTTTCATATAGTGGGTTCCTGTGACCAAACTTGGTCGTCTGGTGAAGGATATGAAGATCAAGACCCTGGAGGAAATCTATCTGTATTCTCTGCCAATCAAGGTACTAAAATTGACAAGTCAAATTCCCGTTTTTATTTTCTATGGACGTTTTATGGATCTTGAAGTGAACAATACTTCTGAACGTGTTTTTCTTATTTATTTTTTTAAAAGAAGCTTCATGTAATGTTTTATCAATCATAACGACAGATTACCCAACAATGAAAATTGTTTGAAATCTGTAAGGTTTGTTAGTCTTTGTAACACTAATGAAGATTTTAAATGTTTTGGGTGAACAGACTTTCAAATGGAGGGACTGATATTTTAAAATATTTATTACAAGTAATTGTGTTGAACCAATCCAACCATGTGTTTTTCAATCTATTATACCCTGATGTACATCAAATGGATGAAAAGAGATGTTGCTACTTTAACTTCATGAGTTAAGTTATAAAGACCTCCACTAAGTGACACAAAATGCTTAGCTTTTTGCAAAACTTAATTCTTTACTCTCCTGTAGGAGTCTGAGATCATTGACTTCTTCCTGGGCTCAGCACTGAAAGATGAAGTTCTGAAGATCATGCCTGTCCAGAAACAGACCAGGGCTGGTCAGCGCACCAGGTTTAAGGTGACTTGCTTCTCCTGGAGTGTTCACTAATAGTCTGGTTCTTCACTTCTTACTGCTGGTTCATAATCACTCATTCTCAATCTTTAGGCCTTTGTTGCTATTGGTGACTACAATGGCCACGTTGGTCTAGGAGTGAAGTGCTCCAAAGAGGTAGCCACAGCTATCCGTGGAGCCATCATTCTGGCCAAACTGTCCATCATTCCCGTCAGAAGAGGATACTGGGGTAACAAGATCGGAAAACCACATACAGTGCCGTGCAAGGTGAGACGTTGTTAGGTTTTATTTGGCTTGGTTTGAATTAGAGCATGTGGTTTTTTATTGACTGAATATGTGTTTGGTTAGGTGACTGGTCGCTGTGGTTCAGTCCTGGTGCGTCTCATTCCCGCTCCCCGTGGTACCGGCATTGTGTCCGCTCCCGTGCCCAAAAAACTGCTGATGATGGCTGGTATCGATGACTGCTACACATCTGCCAGGGGCTGCACCGCCACTTTGGGCAACTTTGGTGAGGGGCTTGTTGGAAAACAGTTTCAAGGTCCAATTGTCCATGGTTGGGTATTTCAATGTTAAACATCTGTCTTTCATTGCAGCCAAGGCCACCTTCGACGCAATCTCGAAGACTTACAGCTACCTGACCCCTGATCTCTGGAAGGAAACTGTGTTTGCCAAGTCTCCTTACCAGGTAATGCGTGCGTTTCCAGACGTTATTCTTTCACAACTTTGTCGTGTTTGAAACTAAAGTGTCTCCTTTGTTTCAGGAATTCACTGATCATCTGGCCAAGACTCACACCAGGGTCTCTGTTCAGAGGACTCAGGCAGCTGTTCCAGCACCCTCCTAAATTTTGTACAATGGATTGAAATAAAAGTCCAGAAAGTAAACATCTTTTTGAGTCTGTTCTTTGATATTAAAGTTGTGTGATAGCTGTCAACAAAGTTGCTACAAGTCCAAAAACTGTCCCAACAAAGTGGGCAAGTTACATTTCTCAGGTAATTTAGGTGGATTAAAATAGGGATGCAGCGATATGAAAAATGACAATTCTTTGTAATTGAAAGCTGATGTATTGACAAATCGTAATCCAAGTTTTTATAATTTGAGAGCCTGATTACAAAAGTCTCACTATTAAAAGCCATGTCCCAAGCACAAAATTGTACTGCTTATGACAGGCTTGCGCTGCATATGTTGCACTTTACTCTATTTTCCTTATAGAAGTCATTTCAAGCAATTCAAATCCATGGTGAACTGCATCTGAAGTTTCTCAGCTGAAGGAAATAGTCCTTTATTGGCTTTAACTTTCATGCGTGAATTGGAACCTCAGTCAGGGTTTTTTTTTGTGTGTGTGTGTGTTTTTAATGCTCTTGGGGCATGAAAAACAAGATTAGATATATATATATATATATATATATATATTTTTACATTTTTCAAAGAGATTTTTTTAATGTCCACTTCGGTGGACAGCATGCATTAATGGTCTAAATTGAAGAGATAATGTATTAAACAATACAATAATCAAAATTAATGTATGAAGAGTTCAGATGCAAAAGCCTCTAAATGCCATTTGAAATTTTCTTCTTTAATGATAATTTTTATCAAGCTTGTATATTTAAGTTCAGTAATTTCACTTAAATAACAATTAATAGGTAATTATCATTGCCATTTAAGTGAAATCACTGAACTTAAATATACAAGCTTGATAAAAATCATCATTAAAGAAGAAAATTTCAAATGGCATTTTAGAGGCTTTTGCATCTGAACTCTTCGTATGTGTATTTAAACTAATCAATACAATTATATTAATATATAAATCCAAAATATTGCAAAGGCAATTGAATACAAGTTGCACTTAGTGTATGTGCTCTTCCACAACCTTCAGATGCTCCTCCAGTAAACAAGCTGATAAGTCTGATTATGTTCAAGATGAATTCTGAATTCACATCTAGCATAGCCCTCTTCTAAGAAAATCTAATGGTATGTTGATGTTAAAAGTACAGTAATGTGTTATAAGTAGCGTGCATTACATAATCAGGTTTGTTTTAATGTTACGAGTTAAGTAATTTATTACAAGTAACATGCATTACCTAATCAATTACTTTTTGAACTATCAAGTAATTAATTACAAGTAATGTGCATTATGTAATCAGATTACTTTTTGTTGTTATGAGTAAAGAATTGCATTACAAGTAATATTCATTACGCAAACAGACAACATTTTGATCTAAGTAATGCATTACGTAATTAGATTACTTTTTTAATGAAATGAGTAGAGTAATGCATTAAAAGTCACATAAATTATGTAATTGCATAACTTTTTTCGATGTCAATGAAAATTACATTCTAATTATACAAATACATTTATTCACTGCAGATTAGGTATTTTCTAAAACAATATTCACAGTTTAAGTATGAATTGTAGCTGAAATAAAGCCATTGATGTGGACAGGACAGGTGATTAATCAGATTTTTCTCCCAATCTAAAATCAAAACTTGGAAAATTTGCACTGAAACTGTCTTTTGGACCTTGAACCGTTTGGTTCCCATCGAAGTCCATAATATGGAGAAAATCATCTTGGATGACATTGGGGTGAGTAAATTATCAGCAAGTTTTTTGAAAAGTAAACAACTCCTTTAAGCTGTCAGTCGATACATGGGAAAACAAATTATTCAACAAAACAACTCACATTGAAATTTTGTTGTAGATTTAAAGTAATGTGTTACTTTACTGGCTACTTTAAAAAAGTAATCTGATTATGTAAATCGTATTCGTGTTCTCCCCAACACTGATTATTTCAACCTCCGTTTCATAACGACTCTATCCAGCAAAAGGCATATAAGCACCAATACACACAGTATATGAAATAAACTAATCTGATTTTTAAAATGTAGGAAATGTCTATACAATGCCAACAACACAACTGATATTGAATAGAAGGGTAAGTCTGACACTGGCAGGACTTTATTAAATAACAGCTACTCAGAAGTCACTTTCCAATAAACTTTATTTTACACTTTGATACACAGGTGAGAGAGAGACGGACATAGAAAAGCTGAAGGACAGGAGGTTTATGCCTTCTGTGTCTCTGCCATCATCCTCTCCTTCTGTTTCATCAAACACTTTCGCCCACTGGCGTACGCGCCGAGGTCCCCGTCTAGAAGAAACAATGAAGGTTAACAGCCGGAATACTAAATCCTCTACATGCATATAAACATAGCTTTGGTTTCATTGTCAAGTAAAAAGTAGTTTTTAAGACAACATCTATTACAACTGGGCTTGTCCCATTGTGTTATACATTTACCACTGCGTATTGCACATAAAACATTACTACCTGACTAAATACTCACAGCGTGACTGAAAGGCCTTGGACACTTGATCAAACTGCTTCAGTTCTGGAATACAGTTCTGTTTGTAACTGGGACCCTCACGCTGCTGGCAGGCCCGAACACGCTCCTGGATCACCTTCACGATCTCCTGATCCACCTTACTGCACACAAAATTAAAAGTAAAAGATAGGGATTGTGTGCAAAAATAGAGATATGAACATTCGTACTACAATGCTTTTTTGATGGACATACTAGTCTCTCCTCCACTGCATCTCGGCCTCATAATAGCACAGATAATCTCCTTCCTGGCATTCAGTTAACTCAGGAACACGGCGAAACTTCTGATGGTAGTAGTGGGACTTCTTATCGCCCTGGATGCCTTCAATAATACCTGGTAGAACAAAAAGAAAAACAGGAGGACAATAAAATAAGGATCAAGAAGCCAAGTAGATTTTAGGGTGTGTTAACAGTTGTAGTTCGGTTCGCTTGGTTCATTTGTTCCGGACCAAAAAAAACTGAAAATGTAGTCCTGGTCTGCTTAGCGTGCACATTGGCATTTTAACACCGAATCTAATATGTTCACAACCTGATTGGTAGGTTTATATTGCGCGACGCAGCAATGCTGTGTTTGTAAAGGAGTCAAAACTGCGGCAGGACTCCCTTTGTCAAACAAACAAATGAAGATCTGCTTAAGTTTTGACACCAATAGTGAATACGTGATGGCAACATCACGACTATGACGAGAAAAAATAGGTATTCTTGAGCATTCTGTACTTTTTAGGGCCGCATCTTGTGACATTTTCTGTTTTTGGTTAGATGTCTTTTGTCCATGTCTTTCATATTTGTTCAGTGTTTGGAAACGGAGCGAAACCCATCTTTTCAGCGGTCTCGATGCACTTGTTTGGTGGCGCCAGAGTTCAGATGGCAGCGTTCACACTTATTAAAGTGAAATGCACTGACAGAGCAATGCACAAGTTTGTTTTAATCTAACCAAACATGCCAAGTGTGAACACACCCTATGATGTGATTTGTAACCAAATGTGATATTGATTGTCACAGTTTTGTTAACGATGTCTAGAGATATTTTAATCTTTGACCTCCATAAAATTTGGGAAAGAAAATCATGGAAATTGAACCGCATTTTACATGGTTAAAGGGGGCTACACTATGGAAGCTTGTTTCCGCCACTGAATAAAAAAATAAAATAAATAATTGCGACTTTTTATCTCACAATTCTGACTTTTTTTCTCACAATTGCGAGATAAAAAGTCCGAATTGCGTGATATAAAGTCGCAATTGCGAGTTATAAAGTCAGAATTGCGAGATATAAAGTCAGAATTGCGAGATATAAAGTCAGAATTGCGTGATATAAAGTCGCAATTGCGAGATAAAAAGTCAGAATTGCGAGATATAAAGTCGCAATTGCGAGTTATAAAGTCAGAATTGCGAGATAAAAAGTCAGAATTGCGTGATATAAAGTCGCAATTGCGAGATAAAAAGTCAGAATTGCGTGATATAAAGTCGCAATTGCGAGTTATAAAGTCAGAATTGCATGATATAAAGTCAGAATTGTGAGATTTAAACTCTTCTGATGGGGGAAAAAGAATTGGCCTAATAAGTCGCAATTGCGAGTTTATATCTCACAATTCTGAGAAAAGATGTCAGAATTTCGACATATAAACTCGCAATTATGTGTTATAAAGTCAGAATTGCGAGATGTAAACTCGCAATTGTGAGAAAAAAAGTCACACTTCTGTCTTTTTTTCTCAGAATTGCGACTTTATATCTCACAATTCTGACTTTATATCACGCAATTCTGACTTTATATCTCGCAATTCTGACTTTATAACACACAATTCTGACTTTATAACTCGCAATTGCGACTTTATATCACGCAATTCTGAGAAATAAAGTCAGAATTGTGAGATATAAACTCGCAATTGTGAGAAAAAAAGTCAGAATTGTGAGAAAAAAAGTCAGAATTGTAAGATAAAAAGTCACAATTCTTTATTATATTTTTTATTCAATGGCGGAAACAAGCTTCCATACTACACAGACCCAAAATACCAACCTATTTCTTTTTTTAATGTCCGTTTTTAAGCTATTTGGCTCAATAAACTCCTGCTTATTAATAGTTAGCAAGGTAGTTGCTAAATTTAGGTATTGGGTTGGATTGAGGGATGTAGAATATGTTCCTGCAGAATAAGGCATTAATGTGCTTTTAAGTACTAAAAACAGCCGATATCGTAGTTATATGCAATGTAAGCTAATAAGCAACTAGTTAATACAGTGAGAATTGAACCATAAACTAGATAGATAGATAGATAGATAGATAGATAGATAGATAGATAGATAGATAGATAGATAGATAGATAGATAGATAGATAGATAGATAGATAGATAGATAGAAGTTCACCATAACATACAAAAAATGTATGTCCAGAATGTGCTTTTCACACTGCAAATGCTACTATATTTGTGAAACTGGATGAATAAGAAGATGTAAACAGTCTGAAATGCACGTCACCTCTGAATGTGGTCACTGGCACATCCACCGAGTAGTAGAAGAGCTTAGACAGTATTAAAGCGGGATTCGGCAACGTAGTTACTTGATCCACCACTGGAGTCTTGCGGGGAGGCACTGGATACACATCTTTGTCGTGATCCTCCGGCATTTTCGACCATTAATTGGAATAGAAATGTCAAAAAACCTTTAATCGACCTTAAGCTCCAGTCTCTCGGTGCGCATGCGTGGTTCACAAAACATGGCGGGGAAAAGGTCACCGAGCTACGATTAATAAACTGAGTGGAAATTACTTTAATTTTATTTTTTATATATTTTTTTAAATGAAACTAATGCTATTAATATGTATAAAATTGCCATTTTTCCTCGTTTCGTTTATAAACTGGCAGGTTGAAGGTGAAAGGTTATATACGTAATTATTATTTTCTACCAATAGATGCCGTTGTTTTACAACTGTAATACTTAACTATATAAACCTACAACAAAGTAAAATACAATATGTGGAAATAAAAAAAATAAATGTATAAATTAAATTTAGGGATTTATACATATTAATAAGTCATTTTAAGGCTTCTCATTAAATCTGGCATTCTTACTCATTAAAAAATTCAGCAATTACTCCTCTATATTTACAGAATCACCTAAAATAGGTTTAATAAGTTTAAGTAACATGTCATCTGTGTAGTTATGTTACACAGAATAGATTTTTGTGTGGTTTTGTTTTGCACATGTGGTCTACTTTAGCTGATGTCTGTGTAGTAGTTGGTTCTTATGGTTGAGAAACTATTATTTTGCAATATTATCGTGGCTCATTTGTGATATTAAAAATATATATAACAATTCTGCCACCATGTGATTGTTTGACACAAGTGTGTAGTCGCGAGGGTCGCGATTGTGTGATCACGTGGTACAGTACGCAGACGAGACGCTGCTTCCATTTAAAACTCTGAACCAAAGCACTGGTTGATACACAAAGTTGGAGTCCTTTGTTTTAACATCACTACAGTTTGCGTAGTCATGTCTTTCTGTTCGTTCTCCGGAGGGGAGTTTTATAAAGATCATTTTGAGACTGGTGAGTTGACCCCGATGTAATGTTAGCTGATATAACACGTGTAAACAAGGCAACTTATGTAAGAGCATGTATGTAACTTGTTTTATGTGATTAGCAAAACTTTGGGAATGTCTTGTGTAAAGTTGTCACACATGGTGCTTGTGTGCTTGGTTCTCGACTATTTTTGACATGTTTATTTGACATTTAATGTTGCCAAGCATCAATAAATGTTAATTCATGTTTACATTTAATGAAACATATTCATGTTTACATTTAATGAAAAGCAATGGGAGTTGCTTTTCTTCATTTTTAAGTCTCAGTGATCAATTTAATTGATAACACTTGACATTAAAGTCTATTTTTTCAACATTAATTAACTAATATGAAACAGCACTGATAAGCTGAAGGATATTCATTTCACCCGTGACTGGTCATAATGTTATATTTACTACAAGACAATATTTTTGAATAGTATTAGTGAATATTGGCAAGTTAGTAAGTGTATAAAATAAGATCATCTGAGACTTATTCAAACCACTTGCGTGTGTGTTTCTCCTGCAGGCATATATGTTTGTGCTGAATGTGGATATGAGCTGTTCTCCAGCAGATCCAAATATGAGCATTCATCACCCTGGCCAGCCTTCACCGAAACCATCCATGAAAACAGTTTGTCTAAACATGAGGAGAGACGGGGTGCTTACAAGGTAAAAGTTAAAGTGGTTTCCAGTCTGTAGATGAACTCCTGCAGTGCATCACGATTTCATTGAGCATTTAATGCTGCCTTCACGTGCTATGGTAATTATTGTAAATATGAGTTTCCCGGTTCAAAATTGGACATGAACACCCTCTCAAGTTGTATTTACAACTGGGAAGTTTGGGGATAAGTTTGATACCCAAGTTCGAGTTGGGCGAGCCATAAACTTAAACCCTGTTGTTAAAGTAGTGCATATTTACATATATTAGTAATCATTTGAAGCATAGTGTATGTTTCATACAAAGCTCAAAATAGGCTGTATTTGACCGAAATTCCAGAATCGTCAACAAGATGACAAGAGATGAGCATGGTGAGTGTTTACATGGTTGTCAATGAATGGGATACTAAATATCATTTTGGCTTTAATATGAATTTCCCAATAAATAGGCAAGAATAAACCTGGTGATTCATGTTCTTTCCGACAATAAATCACTTGAATGCGACAGGCTCGTAATCACGACATCAGAAGTGGGAAGTAGGAACTTTCTGAGAGCTTGTGAAGGCAGCATAAAGTTGTTAAAGGGACATTTCACCCAAAAATGAAAATTGTTATAACTTTCTAAGCCTCATGTCGTTCCAAACCTGTAAGACTTTTGTTCGCCTTCGAAACCACAAAAGAGATATTTTAATCTTGGAGGGATTTTATTAAATGGGGGGATTTCTGCCCTTCCATTTAAAGACTAATAACCCAAAACTCTTCTCAAGAGTTCTTACGAGACACAATTGCTTTATAATGAACACATTTAATTTAGACTTTTATTCTCATAAATATATATATATTTTATTCACATAAATATATTTTATGCACACGAATAACAGAAGCTCAACTGTACTTGAGCATAACTAATTGATGATAGAGTTTTAATTTTTAGGTCAACTTTCCCTTTAAAGCCCGTTCACACACCAAGAATTATAATAACTATAAAGATAACGATGAAGACGTAGTTCTAAAAATCGTTCCGATTATAAAAGAATAGCACACAACAGAGAAACAATATATAATTGTAATCACTTTCAGAACTATTTTTTTTCTAGCTGATGAACGATAAAAACTTTGACAGCCAATCAGAATCCGTCCTGCTTTAAAGAACTCAAAACTGCAGTGTGCGCTTATAATAAATAAAATGATATTGCATAAGTGTGGATATTAATATATAGTTCTCTTTATAGACATCTTTCTTGATGTGAACAGGCCTTTAATTTATTATATGGAGAATGTGAACTATGAATTATGTAACATCTTTTACAGGTTAAATGTGGTAAGTGTGGAAATGGTCTTGGCCACGAGTTTGTGAATGACGGACCCAAGCGCGGCCTCTCACGCTTCTGAATATTCAGCAGCTCTCTGAAGTTCATTCCTAAAGGTATACACTTTTACAACAAACGATACAAGTAGGCTGTATTATTATACAGTCGTCAACATTTGAAGTGGATCAAAAAAGTTCATCAAAGTTGTCCTAAGATAAGTACAGAACTCATAATTCGTGTATAACTTTGAGGAAAGGTTTTGATCCCCTTCAAATGTTGACTACTGCATTTAGATGTATGTAATGCTGCCCCATAGTAATTTTAAAATAAAATATCTAATGTACCACTGTGATAGAATTTGTAATGTGTGAATGTGATTGAATTTGTAAACTAATGGTTAAAATGATCTCATTACATACTAATATGCTGTATTTCTTCAAGTAAGCTATTGAGAAATTCTTCTATCCATGTACAGTATGTCTTTTAATACAGTTGTTTCTTCCATAGTCAAGAATGAACAGCAGTAGAGCCAGATGGTTGGATAAGCAAGTGAGGAAGTTTCAGTAAGAGCATATGGAGAAGCTTGGATGTGTTTACCGTGTGGTTGATGAATGAAACACTCTGATGAAAAGCCCACAGAGTAGCGTTCAGAGTGATGATGTGTAAAACGGCCTCATGGGACACACGAAGAAGCTTTCTCCCAATAACTACTACTACCAATCAATACGCACAACTGTGCAAATTTATACAACCTGTATGCACCATATACACTACTGTTCAAAAGTCAAAAATTTTTAAAATGTTTTTAATAAAAGTCTAATTTTCTCACCAATGCTGTATTTATTTGATCATAATTTAAAATAACTATTTTCTATATGTTAAAATGTAATTATTAATAGTCTTAATTATTTTTCCAGTCTTCAGTGACACATAATGTATCAGAAATCATTATAAAATGAAGATTTGATGCTCAAGAAACATTTCTGATTATTATCAATGTTGAAAACAGTTGTGCTGCTTCATATTTTTGTGGAAACCATGATCTTTTATTTCAGGATTCTTGATGAATAAAGTTCAAAAGAACAGCATTTGTTTGAAATTGGAATGAATGCATCTTTGCTGAATAAGTAAGTAAGTAAGTTCTATTATTTTTTTTTCCATAATAAAAAATGTTTTTATGTTAGTTTGCCTCTTATGGGTCAACAGTTTAACCTCACTTGGTCATGTGGAGATCATCTTTAAAACATTTACCACTTGAAATAATTTATGTATTTACAAACAATGCCAAAAGATCAACTTTTGGAAACGTTCTGCTGTTTCTGTATATCACTGCTTGTGTGCTCAGTACAAAGATTTCAATCATTAAACTTGTTTGATTGTTAAACTGCTGCATTTTTCTGTTGTTACATATTGATGAAAAGCCCAGGAGATGCTTAAAGTTTAAAATCCCCCTTAAACATCTTCTTAAAAAAAAAAAAAAAAAACGGGATTAGTAAATAAGTTGTTTATGGGAATGAATATAGAGCTTGACACTTTGAGCCTATAAAGACACATTTACAGTCTTTGTATAGTATGTGTGTGTGTTAGACATAAATCATCAAGCTTAAACTTTGCACCATGTCATTATTCTGGTGTCAGCATCAATGACAACTGAAAGGTGACATTTGAGAATAGATTTTCCTACATGTGTGGTTGAGCTGCTGTTTTTCAAATGTATCCATGCAACTGATATACCGTATGTAATAATTAGTCAATTTGAAAAATAAAGCTGCTCTGATTAAAGTACATTGTGTCCTGTTAAATAGTGCACATAACTTCAACGGCCAGCGGTCTTGAAAGTGAGAAAGCAAATCAGCCACAGGTAATTTTGCATGATGAAAATAGCATGAGATGACTACAAAATATGATGAAGTCAGATCTTTTTTATTCAGAAAAGATTAAACAATATATAGTGAATGTGTCCTTGTCGGACATTGTATCCGCATTTAAAACAAATCAAAATGCTTGTGCTTTGCAGCAATTTGAGACTCAAGAATCTTAATTATTGATGATCAAATCAACTTTTTCTATCAACTTTAAATGTCATTGTCACAATGCCATCAATCCCAGCTTGAAGTTCATCATGTTCCTGGACGCTTGACACTCCTTTAGGGGTCCCAGTGAGAATGAGATCGCCTTCTTCCA